CTCATGTGCTTTCAGAATATGTAATAAAAATTGGGGGTCACCTTTCATCCTATGGAGCTATAAGTGATTAAAAATATTCATGGTTTTATGCATATGTAAATGTTGACGCACGCGTACGCGCACGTTAAGTCGAGCGAATGGAAAATTAAGGTACCTGGCATTCAACCTTGACCTGAAGATTATGCTCACTTAATATGATTCAAAAATGACGAATGGTTAAGATGATATGGGCTCATCAACTTTTTGAGAAAAGAAAGATGTGGGGGTCAGAAAAAACAATTTTTTTGACCATGATGATGTCATCAAAATGTAAAAAGAAGTCAAATATATGAAAGAGAATTGTCTCAGCTATAACATACTGAAAGTTGGAAGACGATCGATCAAGGATAAGCGAGATACGCTGAAATGCGTATTTTCAAAAATGACGTCATAGCTATAAATCACTCTCTTTGAATTCAGATGCCAATATGATGAGTCACAATGTCCGATCAGCCATTATGATCTATAAAATCATATTTACAACTTATGTGCTTTCAGAATATGTAATGAAAATGGGGGGTCACCTATCAACCTAAGGAGCTATAACTGATTAAAAATAGGTCTGATTTTAGCATAATTTCACTGTATAGCGGCACAAATACGCGCAAAGATACCTATGTTTGATGCGCACGTACGGTATTGCTATTGGCCAAAAGATGACCGAAAAAAATGGAAATTTGTGAAAACAATGTCAGGAACCAAAAATATGTAAAATAACGTAATTTCTAGCTTTCGTAAGTGCTGCGCACGTAAAAATGCGCGCGCGCAGTGGAAAATTTCAAAAAAATTTGAAATGCTCAAAATGGCATAAAACGTGCTCTAATTTAGTTAAAAAGGGATTTTAAGCATTTTGAAATTTTGACGCACGCATACGCGCGCGTAGTGAAGCGCACGCGTCAAATTAGGGTACAGTACATTCAACATTAACCCGAAGTTAATGCTCACTTAATACGATTTCGAAATGGCAATTGGTTAGGCTGATATTATCGATAATGTAAAAATGCAAAATTGCGCGTAGATGACGTCACGCATGACTGAGCGCGTTGAAAAGCTTACCATGACTATTCCAGACCAAGCCAAATGTTCGCTGACAGTGATTGTGCGTAACTCGTGGCAGTTTTTGAGATATCGTGCGAACAGAAAAGGGGAGAAAGAAAGAAGAATAAAACTAGATTTGAACTCGTCTGTGGACTGTTGATGCCAAACGAACTTTCACTTCACATAACCTACATGTATTAGTCTGATAGTGTCAAAATACAGTCTGCCGCCCTCATCTGTTCTATTTTTTTACATCTTTTAAGAATGAGAGATAAAAGGGCTCCAAAAATTCATTCTTTTTGACCATGCTGACGTGATCAAAATGAAAAATAAAGGGACACGTCTTCAAGAGAATTGATTTAGCTATAACATACTCACAGGTGGGAGACAATCAATCAAGAATAAGCGAGATACGTTCAAACGAGTATAAACATAATGGCATCATAAATAAAAATTCAGTTTTTTAATTCAAATGGCAATATGATGGCGTCACAATATCCGATCAGCCATTATGATCTATAAAATCATATCTACAACTCATGTGCTTTCAGAATATGTAATAAAAATTGGGGGTCACCTTTCAACCTAAGGAGATATAACTAATTAAAAATAGGCCTGATTTTAGCATAATTTCACTGTATAGCGGCACAAATACGCCTATGTTTGATGTGCACGTACGGTATTGCTATTGGCCAAAAGATGACCAAAAAGAATGGAAGTTTGTGAAAAAAATGTCAGGAACCCAAAATATCTAGTTAACAATAACTAGATATTATGTTTTTTTACATATTTTGGGTTCCTGACATAATAAATTTAAATCATATTAGGCGAGTATAAACTTCAGGTCAAGGTTGAATGTTATGTACCTTCATTTACCGTTCGCACTTTTTAGCGTGCACGTACGCGTGCGTCAACATTTATATGCATAAAACCATGAATATTTTTAATCAGGTATAGCTCCTTATGATGAAAGGTAACCCCCACTTTTATTAATATTCTGAAAGCACATGAGTTGTAGATACGATTTTATAGATCATATTGGCTGATCGGACATTGTGACGTCATCATATTGCCATTTGAATTAAGAAAAAACTGAATTTTTATTTATGATGTTATTACTTTTTATACTCGTTTGAACGTATCTTGATTGATTGATTGTCTCCCACCTGTGAGTATGTTATAGCTAAATCAATTCTCTTTCGGACGTGTCCCTTTATTTTTTATTTTGATGTCGTCATCATGGTCAAAAAGAATGCTTTTTTGGAGCTTTCTCATCTTTCTTCCTTAAAAGATGTAAACACATTGAAAATAGAGGGCAGCAGACTGTATTTCGACACTATCAATTTTGTGTGCCATTACTGTACACGCACACATCGTGACGTGTGCGTATGTTAAAATTTCAAAATTCTCAATGTCACTATTCAGATAGTTTAAACGTTTCGGGTCATTTTCAGCATTCCAAAACTTTCCATATTTACGCGCCATACGTTCATTTCCACGCACACAGAACGTACTGAAAATGTAAATAACGCTTTGTTACATATTTTGTGTTCCTGACACTGTATTCATATATCTCTTTGTGCCATTACCATGCTCACGGGCATCAAGACGTACGTGTATGCATGCGTAAATCGTAAAAATGCTGAAAATTATTCTTTTTAAAAAAAAATAGTTACAGCGTATTGTGGTATATTATGAAACTTTTCAATCAATACCGCGCGTGCTTCGTGAGGTTCAAATTACAGCGGATCACCAAACTCGTCCTCAGTGACGAGTTCAAATCTAGTGTGCTTTTAGAATATCTACTAATAATTGGGGGTCACCTTTCATCCTAAAGAGCTGTAACTGTTTAAAATTAGGCCTGATTTTAGCAAAATTTCACTGTATATCGGCACAAATGCGCACAAAGGTCACTATATTTGATGCGTGCGTACGTCATTGTTATTGGCCATAGAGTGATTGAAAAGATTGGAAACTTGTCAAAACAATGTCAGGAACCCAAAATGTGACAAAAAATAAATTTCTAGCTTCCATACGTAAAAATGTGCACGTGTAGTGGTAAATATAAAAAATTTTTGAAATGCTCAAAATGGCCTGAAAGGTGCTCTAATTTAATCTAAATTTGATTTCGAGCATTTTAAAATTTTGACGCACGTGTGCGTCAAAACGACAGAAAATCTCCAAGGGTGTTCGAAATTCCCCAATAGTCATTGCGTAGTCAAAGAGATTTAAAGCAAGGGCCGAAGTTATACTGACACAAACAAACTGAAATTGAACAGAACAATAAATACCCAACACCGAAGCAGAAGACCAATCCAGCCTCCAAAGTATTCATGTATTAAGTGTTGTAAAAATGTGAACAGAAACCAGTAAGCGATGGAGTGTGATGGGTGCCGTAGATGGCTGCATACCGGTAGGTCAATTGCACCCAGGGTAAGTTTGTTATTAAATCATATATAATATACATACACACATACATACACCTGTCTCTTATACACATCTAGATGTGTATAAGAGACAGCGCGTACGCGCTGCCATGAAAAAAACATTAAATCCTGCCTCGCTAGGCTCCATCTATACGTGCGTAACTAGGCCTAATACCGCAGAGTTACAACCACCACTACACACAGACGTCCACCCAACACAACACACATACAGTACATACCCTGCAGTGTTGCAGATAGAGCCAGCCTAGGCCTAAGCCCTACATGTATTTCGGGATCGATATAAAATAAACTTCATTTTTCGGAAGACTGCTTAGTATCAAAACCTATTAACTATAATTTTTTAGTATTTTTATTAAAGAACTGAAGCTTACTTGAAAGAAAAAGTATTTTTTATGCACCGATTCTGTTCCAAATCTTCGCAGCGAAAACTTGGTGCCCCATCCATTCCCAAGTGATTTCTGATTTCGTTAATTTGTTGAAATTTATTTACTCAACTGACAGCCATCTCATTGAATGAGGTCGGCACTGGATGCAAAAGATCGTAACATGGAGGATAAACACCACGGATCTAGGCATGCCTTGCCCTGGAGTTGTTATTTTTATAAACAACTTAAATAACAACTCCCTGGCCTTGTTTATGACATTTTATGGCTGAGCGAGCGCCATAGTATATTGGCTTAAGATAAGAAATTTTGTTTCATTGCTCTATGACATCGTGGAAATCACATTTTTCGTGAAATTTTCGGGATATTTAAAAAAATCGGGAGATATTAATAAAAATCGGGAGGGCGGGAGACGGCCTAAAAAATTGGGAGAACCCACAAATTTTCGGGAGACTTGGGATCTCTGTTATTATTATTATTATTATTATACTGCTCTGCATAGCATCGGGCACTATACGTTGCCTGAACTGACAATTTTATATTGATTTATATATATACATATATACATATATATTTATATATATATATATATATATATATAGAGCACGAGGTAATCCACGTGTGTTCCTTAGATACATAACTCAATAAAAAAGACGATCAGATGTCAACGACTTTGTAGATTTTTGAACACAAATTTTATTCAAAACATGAATATTTCAACCAGTCCTCGGGTCTTCTTCAGCAACTCTCTGCGACCAATGGTTGCCAAGATTTGAGAACCCTATATTTTCAACCTAATTTGCATATTTCAGCTAACTTGCATATGTTCCCGAGTTGTGACCGAGGTGTGATTTATGGAATTTCATCCCCTCATTACATATATTTGATTAAAAAAGGAAAACCTTTGTTTGCAATTTGTTTGACTTCAAATGCCTAGATTGTCTAGCCTAAAGATCTCTGACAATAACAATAGGTGATCCGCAATAGATGATGATCACCAATTATTCTTCTTATTATTATTATTATTATTATTATTATTATTATTATTATTATTATTATTATTATTATTATTATTTATATTATATCCTCTTACCTGTGTGTGAGTTCTTCCTATTTTGATAATTTTTTCGAACTCTTTGGATTTCTGGTAAAGTCCATTCATTAATTGATCCATTCCAGGAAGCAGACGATTGGTTATCTCTATAGTAACAGCAATATGCATAGCAGTTGGAAATGTATCATTAGAGCTCTGAAACGACATTTATACTAATATGTCACAACAGAAAATATTGCCATATCATATATTATGATGTACATACTCTGTAAAGATGAAAGGTCTTCGGAAAGTATCCCTGCTTGATAAATTGCACAATACCAAAACAATAGTACCAAAGACTCAAGGAAGGTGACTACTCTGGTTCATGTCACAAGAATGGATGGAAGTAGCTATGTCAAGACAGCCTATGCTGGAACCTTTAGCAACAAGAGGAAAAGTGGTCATCCCTGCAAACGTTGAGTAGACCAGATTCAAAAAGATAGTGATGTTTCAGAACAGCAGAAGGATGTGCACAAGATGGTACCAAATGGGATTACAGTAACATCTCCCAAATACATACCCCTGTCTAAACAGAGTTCGTATGAGAAAATTTGTAATTTGAGAGAGTTCAAATTGTCAGCATCTCAATGCGGTGAGGGTAGGCCTAGGCCTATGCTACAAGTTACAGTGATAGGAAAGCCCAAGCCTTGCCATGGTATATGACTTGGATTTTACAGTTTTCAACAACAAAATAATGCTTTACAGAAGCCAATCACAATCACAAATCAATTTGATCAGCACTACATATAATATATCATAGTGTTACAAATAAGTATAAAAGAAAATTGAAATTGATGGATCTGGGAGACTCTCATTAAGATCAGAGGCCTCAAGCATGAGAGCCACACAAAATTATATGTGCTCACTGTGTAGTATTCATTTGAAGTGATTTAAAAATGAAAACATGACCATAATAATGCCCAAAGCGAGTGTTATTATTCTTTTCATAAAGATTTCGAATCCATGCGAACAGCCCCCAATGATCAGAAATGTTGACTATACTCAAATATAATATATCTCAGCTCAAAATGACTGATATTTCTTGCTTCAAACTTATGTAACAATTTAAATTATTTCTGAAGACTACATTTTACTAGGTACTAATGCCTACAAATACTCTCCATTCATTCATTTTAGTAGACTTTTTAATTCTCTTCCTGATAATATCAGATCCGAATTATTATTCTCCCCCAATCAGTTTAGTTTATTAGTCAAAGAATATCTTGATGAAAGCACTGAAATGTTATAGCTTTTATTTCTTAAGGAAGCACTATTTTCTTCAATTGAAAATTTGAGATGACTGTTGGTTTTATTCATTTATTGTATTAGTTTTATTGGTGATCCGCTACACTAGCGGATCACCTATTGTTATTGTACGAGATCTTTTTTTTTTTATTCTACATTCTGACAAATAACTGTTCGCACGATATCTCAAATTTGCCGAGAGCTACGCACAAA